TTCTCTTTTTACATATTTTTTTGGAAATTCTACTTTACATGTTTATTCATTTCACTTTACTCTCTATCACTGGTGAAATGTTTTATGGGTTATTTTGAAAAGTTTGGTAAATATCACCTTAGTTGTTTTTTTTTAATATATCTCAAAATATAAGGTTTTATAAATAACTTTATTTGTGTTTTTATATTATTGTTTTAACATTAAATAGTAAAAGGTATATTTAGGTTAGTATAGGTCAGTGATTAATAATGTTTTTGGCAGAATATAGCTGAAAAGTGTATGTTGTAAAATTATGCATAATGGCCATTCATGGAACTAGTAAACAAGTTAAATATGAATACTAGCAATATTATTGATATTATTGTCCACTTTTTTCTATTAGATGGATAATTACTGTGGCATATTCTGGCTACCAGAAAAATACCTTAAATTTTGAGACCCTTCATTTTTAATCTGAAAATGTCCACTTGTTTTTGTTGAACTAAAAACTGTCATATTAGGTTATAGGCTTCATGTTTCTACTCAGTTGTTTGATTAACAAGGTGATATGTTTAGTTGAACAAGGAGATACTTTAAATTGGTATATATAATAAGGCCATACTTTTACCATACTGCTACTTGTGGATTTTGATTTGCTTATAACAGTTCTGAATTACACATAGAGCTGCTTCCTGTATTTTGATTTTTTAGTTCTTGGGCATTAGGCTACTACTTCTTTTGTACTTGGACTGTAGATTTTTACTATCAATTTTTAGACATTAAGCTACTACTTTTTAGTCTTTAAAATGTAGGCTGCCATTTTAAATTTATGAAGTACATTTAGCTTTTTTATTTTTACTTTTTATTATGCAGTGCTGCTTTTTTCAATAATTTTTACTGTATGTTGCTTTACTTAATTCCTGGATTGTAGTTGCTTGAGGTTGGAAGCTCATAATATTATTTCTTAGCATTGTGTGAAAATCACAGTATCAATTTTAATTGATGAATATCAGTCTATTTTCTAACTGATTAAGATGTTTTTCTATACAAATTAATGCTAAGCCATTATTATTTTATCTTCCACCTTAGTCAGTTTGTGATGGTGTTTAAATAAGTATTTTCTATTGTTTCAGACAATTTACCTAAGGAACAACCTTATAAAGAAAATTGAGAATTTGCAAACATTGACTAATCTTAAGGAGTTGGAGTTTTATGACAACCAGATATCCAAGATAGAAAATCTGGATGCCCTTATTAATCTAGAGTAAGGTGTTTTTATTTAGTGAAAGCTCTCACATATAATGTTCTAAAACAGACTTATCTTGAAAACAGTAAGAAATGTTATAAACCTCCTTATTTTCAATATGTTTACATTGGTGTAAACATTGTACAAAAATTACTTTAATTCTTTGAAAAAATAGGTAGTGTACAATAAGAATTTTGTTATTAAGCATTACTGGACCAGTGAGCACCTTTCAGGTGTCAACTTTTCCAAGATGTAAGTTAAAATACAAATTATAATTCTATTTCCACAATGTTTTATTAAAAAATATTTTACAATTGATATTTTGTTATTTTTTTCAACATTTATTTCATATAAATTCAAAGGAAAATAAAATAAATGTTCATACTTAAATTTCTGCACAGCTCCAAGGAGCCTCACCTATAAAAAAATGCATTTATTGATTTTAAAAAATTCTGGCCGTCTTAAAGCATAAGTTTATATTTGCTATCATCTCTTGTGAATAAAATTCTCATGATTTTGTTTCTCACTTGATTTTCCTTTTCTTTCTCTGATTTTATTAGTATAGCCTCTTGACTTTTGGAACATTCTGTTCTAGTGTCTGATATATTTCTGTGTTTTAAGATGTATATTTGAAATCTACATGTATTATTTTTGGACAACCAACATAATGAGAAAAATTAGGGTTACAGAAGTACAGAATACTAGTGTAAACAGACTGAATGCTTAAAGTAGTGTAAATTTCTTGTTTCTTATATGTATTTTTAACAAAGGTAACTAAAATATAAAAATTATAAATTTATTACATTAAATAAAAATGAAAAGCTTGAAACAATTTCATGAAAGCTTGCACTGTGTGCATGTCACGATTGTAACATGATTATTTGTTCACACTAAGCTTTCCCGCTGTGATTTGTGACTTTGCATGTACTGTGAGAGTCCAAAATACACTGTATAATGATATAACTAAAGAAAGCAGATGTGAAAAGCTTAAAAGCTGAGGCTGTTACATGTGATTGTCTGTGTTACAATCTGTAGTAATTGTAAAAATAATATGTTATTGACTTTATTTCATATTTTTCAACTTTTCATTTCGAGCCAGTGTTTCCTGTTCTCTCAGGTTTTTACTCTCAGCTTTTTGTTGTCCCTAAGAAACTGAGGATTGGAAACCAATCATCATGAGGGGTGTGTTTTCCAATTCCAGGCTTTTCCATTTGGGTTTAACTTGGCTCCATATGTGTTTCATCGGGTAATCAAGACCTTTGCTTGACATCTCCAATCATTGGGACTCTGGTCTCATCATTATATGGATGACTGGCTCCTTTCTGTATGGCACCTTCTGACCACACCCATTTGCTCCTAGAGGAGGCAGCTCATATGGGATTTTTAAACAACTTGGATAAGTCCATTCTTTCCCCTACACAGAACCAAGTTCACTTGGGAGTTTTCTTCAATTCCCACCTGATTCTGGCCCAGCCTTCTCCACTACGTCTTTGGATAATGGAGTAGTTGATCATCAAGGCCTTATCTTCTCATTCTCTTCTAGCACAAGAAGTTCTATCTCTTTTGGGGATGAGGGCTTCCTTAAACAGAGACAGTACTACACCTGATGTTCCTCTGGTATATATATCTTTCTCAATATGTAGAATTCTAATAAGTGCATGGTGGACCGTCACTCATGGACTATCATGAGTAAAGGAGAAGGAGATTGCTGCCTATCCCTGCCACTCCTTCGATTGAATAAATCAGGAATTGAATAAATCAGGTTTCATGGTAACCCATTGCTGTTCCTCCAGACTCCCCAATGCCTTTTACTCCTCCCTTCCTTGAATAGAGCTTAGGAGTTCTTGCTACTTCCCAGTTCCTAGCCACTGGGGTGGTGGACCATGGAGGCTTTCTCGTGAGTGTAGAACACACATCATAATGTTCATATCACTCCACTCAGTTGAGAAAGGGCAAAGTTGAGAACCCTCCTTTCTTCTACCCCCTGGAGATTTAAACCTCATAATGCCAGGTGTATGATGTTTATTCCCTGCTCGTATGGTTCAGTTGGAATCATTATTTTCCTGTTGTAATACCACGTACAGGATGATTACCTGTTCTTATGATTGAATTGTGGCTTACACACAGCCCCATAAGTCGGGTTCGGAATGTTGTACTTCCTGATGCCTACGGTTGATTTGGGAGTTTGTCCAGCAAATGTCATTTGTTTACCTCCTCCTCATTCCGGTTGCTTGTAATATAGTATTCTGTTTACTTACAGGTGGGGTTAGTGTATATTGTACTACGGTCCATTTGCCCTGGCCACCATACACTGTATATCCCGATTTTGATCTTACATGAGGTCCTCCACCTTGTAATATCGAGGATGGGAAATGGAAACTAGTTTGTATGGTTGGGGTAGAGTAGATACCTAGTAATGTCTAGATGAATGCCTTCATCTTCATAATTTGGAGAACTGGCCATTGACTTTCACGTTTTTTCTGTGTGGATTTAGAGTTACCTTTCATATTATATATATTTTTTATACTACTTGTGACTCTTATCCAGAGTTGGTTTGTTTCATGCCTCTTTTGCATGGTTGAGTATGGAGTGGAACTCATGTTGATTATTTACACATGACACATTGTTTTCCAAGGTCTTTTTTTTTACTCGATCCAGGCCCTGATGCTGCCCATTTCACAACACTACACTTCTTTGAGGGTAAAGAGCATACCTGTTCTAGAAATGATGCAGTCCCCCATAACCAGTGCACACCTGATTGATTCTCTGTGGATGCTTTCTGCAGAGAGTCTCTTGTTTTGTCTTACACTGGTCCTTCCACCTACTCAATGTGGGATTCTAGCTGTTGTGTGACTGTAGGTATGTGTCGTATTGGAAGTTATCATTTTCTTACACTGAAAATAGATGTTTGATGGATACTTACCTCCTCTCACACACTTCCCACCCTTCCTCCCCATTTCCAGTGTTCTTCTGTTTTTTGTTGGGCTAATCTTGAAAGTGAGGTTCATATAAAGTAGTACAGAGAGAGCCAGCTGTTTAGGGAGAGTGTCTCATGCTCCTTTTGGTGGAGGGTGTCTCATGCTCTGTGCATGCTAAATGAGCAGCTCAAACTTTTGGGGTATAAAGGCTAGTATTTCAAGTGAGAAAGTTTCTTTTCATAGTATTAGAAGACAGTGGAACATTGAGAAAAGCTATTGTGGGGTCAAAAGGCTAGCATTTTAAGTGAGAAAATTTCTTTTCAAAGCATTAGAGGGAAGTGGAACATGGAAGATAGGTATTGTGAGAGAGGAAGTAAGTGTCTATCTGAAATCTATAATGAACCTTTGCTTGATAGCTCAGAAAGTAAGGATTGCAAAGCTTTTTGGTCCAGTTAATTTTAAAATCAATAAACCATCCTATCTTTGTGTTTGAATGGCAATCATACAGTTTAGTGCTTACATCATACTCTACAGTACCATCCAATGGTTCAGAGAGAAAGGGTCACATTGCCCTTTAAACTAAGTTTATGAACTTCTATCATCTTTAGTTGGGCAAACTTTTGACTGTGCATTATATCTACTAGCTTTAACTGTCTTAGCTTTGTGATAATCAAGTGGAAGTCACACAATGTGTTGCATACATTGTACAGTGAACATAACTTGATAGTTGGGTAAAGAAGGGTCATCACTTCCTTTCAGTGAATGTCCAAAGACTACAACTGCAAGCAGTTCTTTCTTTGTTTTACAGTATTTACATTCAGGAACCGTGAGCCTATGAATAGTGTGTATAATTACACAGTCTACACCATCCTACAACTGCATTAATTATGCTTCAATTCCATGATCAGTGGCATCTGTATTTAATATGAACTCACAATCTTGTTGTGGCTATGGCAACACTGGGGGTTTCTATCAAGGCATCCTTCAGGAATTTGACTTTAGTAGCAGTTGATAATGGTAAGTTGATCTTGGAAAAGTTAGTCACAAACTGTCGGTAATACAAAGTAAACCCAAGGAAACTGCAGACTTCTCATTTGGTCGTTGGTTGAGGCCAGTCTCACAATGCTCATATTTTAGAAGGATCTGTAGATGTTCCTCCTACTCAGAGTATGATCAGACAATTACACTTACATGAGTACCATTTTTAGGTTTTCACCCACAGACTCAAAAGTGTGACGAAACACCAAGACATCATTGATATAGATCAGACACGTCACGTCTTCCATTGCAGTTCCTTCAGTGTAAGCTCCATTAATCCCTCAAAAATGACAGACATTTACACTAACTGAACAACAAGACACAAAACTTGTACAAGCCACCTCTTTTGCTGAAAACAGTCTAAGGTCTGCTCTCATAATCCATCTTGGTTTGCTAGTATCTAGATGCCAGGTCTAACAAATTGAACCAGAGGGCCCCTTTCAGTGTGTACAAATGTTCATCTTTTCATGGTTGTGAAAAGACATCAATGAGAATTACCTCATTTATCTGTGTAAATTCAATATGGAACCTGAGTGTACCTTTTTTCTTCCTGACAATCCCTAATGGAGAGGACCAATCATTCTCTGAAAGCTGTTTGATCCCATCCTTTAACATTCTCTGTACTTCAACCTATGCTACATCCCCAGTGCTCCAGGAAAGTATACAAGGTGTTTGTTGAATTGGACATGCACTACCTGTATCTGTTTGATTATGTTGCATGACTCTTTTTTTTTTACCCAATCAGCCATCCATTCCCACAAATACATTGGCATATTCTGCTAACTAGCCACTCAGTTGTTGCCACTGCAATGAGTCTAGATTGTCTGCAAAAACTAGTAATTTCAGATGTGTTACCAACTGTGGATTTGTTTTTGGATATTTTGCAATGGATGCAACCCTATTGCTACCCATAGCATTAGTTATTCCCACTTTACTTACTGTGCTGATAACCATTCCAGCATACAGCATAATTGCAGAAAAACACTGAGACTTGATCTGTCCATTCATGTCTAGTTTTCTCCATTCACCAGAACAAAGTTAGTGTCAACTGGCTAGACTGATGGCTTTGCTTGTAGCACCTGTTATACTGCAAAATGTAGCTGTGTTCAAACTGATCCTGTATCATCCAGAAATTCTCTGTCTGTTGTTCTTGTACTGTAGCATGCACATACCAAAACTCACCCATTCCTGGAAGATCTGGGCTGACCACCACATATGTTGATATAAATTGTTCATTACACTCTCCAAAGTATGATCAGTCATGAATTGGGCTCCTCTCATTTTCCAGAGCTGTAACAGCAGTATTCACCATCTGCTGTTGGATTTCCTGTGCTTGTTGCAGTGTCAAAACCAGTAGTCTTGTCTATCTTGCTGCTTAGCAAGGTATAGGCAGATCATTCAAAAGTAAATCAATGCTCTACAGGCAAAGCATGTACTTCTCTCCTTACTTCCAGGATGACTTCTAAACAAAACCAGTAGCAGCATAAGTTGCTGCATTTAAACCATGGGAGAACTAGGATAGCCCTGTACATTCACTGAATATCAGCTTGGTTGCATAGCAGTGCTTGGATGTATGGGAGGTTAGATAATCCTTGGCTGGGCTCGAATTTTGCACTGTCTAGGTGCCTGGGTAAAACAGTCTGTCTAAGATTAAATTGCTAAAGCTTTTGCTACAGACTTCTTCCTTTTTTGTGACAAGTTTGAAGTTACAACTTAATACCACATCTGCACAGAAACTGCCTTTGTAAGGGTGAAAAGATCTCTCATGCAACTCATTCTTTTAATGAGTAGATTTTCCAGGAACTTATCTATGAGGATATCCTTGTATTCCATTGACATCATTGCAGGGTTAGTTTTATTATGCAGCCGTTGCGGATCCTCCATGTAAGTGATCAAGATTTCCAATATACCCTTCTTCTGATCCTTCAAATAGATTGCCCTGTTGTCCACTAGGTCACACCTCTGGCACAATGCAGGTGTTTAATGGAGTCTATGGTCAGGACACCCAGACTCAGAACCAGGTATTGTACAGCCTGTTCTGGAGTCCAGCCATTCCGGACAGTTACCTGCCAAAACACTTCAAGAAATGGTGAAAGTCTTCCTTTGCTGTAACCTTGAATGTTTAGGGAGGGGGAGAATTTGCTGTACATTTCTCACAGGGAACTGTGGTCATGTCTATCACCTTTCTTTTATGATTTCCCAGCTATCACCTGATATAGATGTCTTTAATGTTGTGGGCACAACATTGTAGGCACTCACAGTCACTTTAACTCTTGTTTGAGTGGTTGATCCCTAATCCAGGGTGGCGGTGCAATGAGTTATTGTCAACAGCTCTGCTTGACCACTGTAATTTATGTTTGTTTTAACAGTATACATCCTGGTTTGTGGAGGGTCATCACAACCCTATGATCCATCTACTTCACCATTTGGTGCACCGTCTCACCTACCAGTGAGATAGCTCCTGTTGGCAGATGTCATCCACTATTGGTACTTCCATAAATGTTTTCTGGTGGTTTCAACCAGAGCTGGAGTTAGGTTACTCTAATAGAAGCCATAGACCTTTACAGCATCAATGAATTTACAGAGAATGACTAGTGCAACCCACATGGCTAGTCATTTTCACTTGAGCATGGGGAAGGCCATAACCTTGAGATACAACTTGAACTACCACTGAAGAACACTAGCTGTTGACCATCTTGTGTAACATACAGCATTCCTCCCATAGGCAGAACAGATGTGACCTCAGTAAAATGAAAGGGAGCAAAGGCAGCTGGAACAACATCAACTTAATGACTTTCTTGAGTATATGTTATGTAAAACCTGCACATATACAGAATAAATGATATATTCAGAATAATACTATAGTATAGCAAAATGGGATGGTAGAAAGCTTAGCACATTTACATACCATAACTTCACAATGTTTTAAATAATAATTATTTATTTTTGACCTAACAGTTAGTAAACATTGGAATGGCATTGCTAGTTATTTCATATTTAATTTAGATTTAATTTAACC